CCAAGGTTGAGTAAGGATAGTGTTGATGTGTTATGAGGTTGTTAACCATTGTCATAGGGCAACATGTGTACTGTTAAATGAGAAACTATTTTGTTCCGTAAGCCTTCATCTAAAGTGAGAATAGCAGCACAACTGGAAGAGCGCAGTCGATGTCACTGAACTGTGCATGCAGAAATTTTTGAAATGGTGTATCTTTGGCTATGTATATTTTCACCAAAAAAAAAAAAAACAAGGTCGAGAGGGGAGATGGTTGACATGTTGTGGGGTTGTTAACCAATGTCATAAAACAATATGTCTAATACTGTTTCATGAAAAACTATTTGTTCTGTAAGCCTTCACCTGAAGTACAATAAAAAAATAAAACAAAATAAAAAAAAAAAAGAAATATGGATGTCAGCAAGGCAATGTGCAATAAACATGGGCTCGGAGCCAGAAAAACCAAAGTTCACTTCCTTGGTGTCCCACTATTTGTGTAACTTTGGGTGAGTTTCTTAACATATCTGTGAGCCTCAGTTCCTTCTTCTATAGAATAAGCATAATACTATCTACTTTGAAGGAATGCTATGAAGACTAAATATATGAAAAAACAATTTATAGAGTGTTTGTACAAAGAAGGCTCTCAAGAAGTGGTAGGTATACTACTACATGAACCAACTATTTTTTAAATGGCAAATTAAACAGGAAAAGCCAGGACTTTGAAGGCCAGGCATTGTTTCATCAATGGCTTCAAAGAAAAGAGATAAAAAAATCAAAGGAAAGCAATATCTAAGCTATTTACCAGACTTTACTAAACAGTACTGATAAAGAAATAAAACCACTCTCTTCACCTTCGATTGTGATTCTTGTATCTTGACTCAGAATAACTATCATATGAAGGAGAATACTTCTGATGCTTTGAGTAAAGGGTCCCTTCTTTACTCTGAGAGAGTGAAACAGATTCACTTTTCCTACAAAGAAAATAAAAGCTGGTTAAACATTCAAAGTCTCTATTAAGAGAAAAGATTTTAAATAATGTTTAACAATAATACAAGATAAACTCTAGAAAACAGAAATTATGAAATAACTGTTACGAACTCTTTGAGAGAGAAAGGCATTCAATCACAGAAAAGGATTTAAATAAACACAAAATCTCCACATCAATGAATGTGAACACAGACTTAAAACTGTTGGGTTTAGATGAAAGAATTATAAATAACTTTTTTTCTATTTCCAAACTTACTAATGTTATATGCTATATTTTGTACAAGTAGAGGTGGAGGAACTAATAGCACAACAATTTAACAAGAATTACTGTATACTATAAATGCAATAGTTTGAATTTGCCATAAAAGCTCCTTCTAATTCCTTTTATTTACTTAGGGTTTATATTTTCAAAAACCAATTTACCTCTCTACTCTGGCTGCAAACCACCTATGTGGTATGGAAATTTGGTGTAAAAAGAGTAAAGGAAAGGACCAAAGAAACATTTGTTTTTGGTTTACTTGTGAATCAGGTAAGTTTTTCTGTTTCATGTTTTGGAAATTTTTTTTAATACTTTTATTTTTTTAAGTAAATAGCTGTGTTTAATACAGGTATATATTTTAGAAGTTAAAAGACTGTTTTTCAAATTGTCAAGAATGAAAATTATGTCTATGTTAGTATCATGATACACAAAGCCATTTATAAATGCAATTACTTCCTATGTACCCTGAGATCAGTTTTTACATAACAAATTGAAAGTAATAAATTTATTTTGGTGTTGCGTGATACCATCACAAATGTGTTCATAGCAGATGACAAAATATAAAAATGCTCCAACTGGTAGTGTGTAGTACAAAAACAGTAAATACACAAACTAAATCCATTCTACATATATCAAAAAAAATTAAATACATTCTTTTATAAAGAGATTCTTACTTAGAATCTCTGATTAAGAATTAAGTAACCCATTTATACTGCTAAGTTTATGCTCTAATATTTCAGAAGTAGAATGTATTTTTTCAAAATAGACCAATTAGTTGCAGGAAAGCATCAATGTTCACAGTATGAAAGATACTATACAGTCTAATCTAATCAGAATTTCTAAAATGCATTGGATATCCTAAAGTGTTTGATTTTATTTAACTCTAGTTGGACTTTAATATTATTTATAGAAGGTTATTAATAATTTCATTAAGAGCTAGTTTTTTGACAGGTTTAGGATACAGGCTCTCTTCTCTTCTCTCAGTCTCAATAGGCCCAGGTTTTAATTTCCATTCAAATACTTGTTGTTGTCATCGAGTCAATTCCAACTCATGGTGACCTCATGTACTACTAATTCCCAAATTCATGAGTCAGTCTAGATGTCTCCTTTGAGCTCCAGACCAAAATAATTTGCCCTAAGTCCTGGTCTTCTTCTGGTTTCTTATCCCAATAAATGGGTATCATCATCCACACAGCAGCACAAGTCAAATGGCTGTAACTCATTCTCCTTGCTTCCACCTCTCATCTACTGTATTTGGTCTACCCTTAAGATTTGATTTTACTACCTAAACAGCTCTCAAAGTCTTCTACTTCTTTATTAACACTGCTGCTTTCCTAGTTCAAGCTATTATTATCTCTTGCTGGGACTACTACGATAACTTGCCTATCAGTCTCTCAGCATCCAGTCCAGTTTCCTGCCAATTCAGTCTATACAAAACATCCAAAATGTATTTTAAAAATAAGACACGACACAAATACAATCATGTCACCCACCCTGCCTAAAAAACTCTTTAATGACTTCTCATTGCTCCTAGAATAAACTCCAAAATCCTTAAGGTCTGCAATGCCCTACCATCCCTGAATCACCTCATACCATTCTGCTCTTTGCTCTCTGCCTCCAGTCACCTTGGGTTTTCGTTCTTGTTTTTTTCTTAAATATGTCACGCTCCTGTGTACTTCAGGGCCTTTGCCTGTATTGATCTGCCCCTTCCTGACCTCCTTTACATCACTAACTTCTTCTTATTCTTTAGGACTCATGATAAGCTTTATTTACTCAGGGAAGACCTCTCTGATCTTCCTGTACCTTCAGACTAATCAAACTCTTAGGTTACATACCTCATAGACGTGTTATTTTCTCATCTCAGTTTGTAAGTGTTCATTCACTTAAGTGAAGATTTGATTAATATCTACCTTCCCCATAGACTGTAAACTTATAACTGTATTCTCAGTATCCAGAACAGTGCCTAGGAGCATAGTAGCTACTCACTGTATATTTTCAGAATGAATGAATATTAACCTATCTGTTTCAGCTCTGGTCCTCAGCTGTTTCACAAAGTCTGGAGGATGTTGCCGCTGGTGGTCATATAGTGTTGCTAGGGGAGCTCCTGAAGCAGTGATGGCATCTGAGATGTGAGTTCGAGTCAACTCTGCCATCTAAACATAACACACACACAACAAATCCAAGAGTAGATACAGAAAGATAATGTCACAGAAGAACTGAGAGCAAGCACAGTGTCTTGAAAAAGATTGTTGGACTGAGGTCAAGCAAATTCTGCCACTAACAGATGAAAGATTGTTGGCAAATCACTTAACCGTTTTAAGTCTCAACAGTTTCATTTTATAAAAATGAAGAGTTGGACTACATGATTTCTAAAGGTTTCACCTAGCTATAACAATATATGACTTGGATTGCACAGAAAACCTTTAAGTCATATAAGCCATAGGAAACCAAAAATTAAATCTTCCTTCAAGTCAATTCAATTACTATTTCCTCTGTAAGACTCTTCTGGCCAACAATATGAAATACATTTTCCCTACTCTTAACACTATTGCAATTGGTATATGTATTATTCATTGGTACTTATTCAATCATTGTCTTAAGATAGTACTTCTACTGATGACTTTTAAGTGTTTTTGAAATCTTTGTCAATGTTCTCTAATAAGCTGATTAAAATTTTCTTGAGAAAATAGACTCTACTGTATACTTATTTGCACACTCCCATAGTCCAACATACAGTAGGTTCGTGGATTTTTAATAACTGAATCATGTCACAAATAGTCCTAACTTTTGTTTAAAAAAAAAGACAAGAAAAAACAAAGTATGTTACAAAATATGTAACTGCTGAAATAAATTGAAACTATAGCTACAGATTATGATATCCTACATAAAGACAGCAGTAAAACTATTTCTGGCTTTATCCTTGGTACAATAAAAGAAAAGACACTAACATCATCTTTATACAAAGAAGATCAATGGCTCCCTGGGGCCAAAGTTGGGGACTGACTTCAAACAGGCATGAAGGAACTTTTGGGGGTGATAGAAATGTTGTTTCTTTACTAGGGTGGTGTTTACAGATACATGTATACATCTGTCAAAACTCATCAAAGTATATACTTAAAATGGATGATTCTGTTTAATGTAAATTATACATCAATGAAGTCAGTTTTTTTAAAAAGCTTACTAGATGGCAGAAATTTAGTGTTTCTCCGTCTTTTTTCTGTCTCTATATCATTTACACGTATAATACACTGTAGTCAATGGTACCTCTTATTTCAATAGAGTATGGTTCCCTACCTACTGAGGGTAACTGATTAAAAGTATGCATTTGCTAGATATTAGAAACCCATTACTACTAAGACCAAAGTGAGTCAGACTGACTGAAAAGAACTAAAACAAAAAGGGTTCTTAATGGCTCTTACCTCACAGATTTGGCGTGCTGCATCCGTGGTAAGGCGAGCAGTCTCTGTTTGCTGAGCTGCTATTTTACATGTTGCCTCCTGCAGGACTTCAGTTACTTCCCGTTGTGATTTAACTACCTGCTTTAATGACTCTGCATGAACCTATAAATAAAAGACGGTGAAAAGAGAACTTATGTTTTAGCTCCCCCATCCCAAGTTAGCTTTTAATTTATAAAATTGTTTCATGAAATACTTGACTAATATCTGGATTTCATGGTTTGAGTCTTAACACTACTGTTTACCAGTTGATGTGTCCACAGACAAGTAACTACTATGTACCTTGGTTTCCCCTTCCCTAAACTGGGGATGATAATTTTTCTCTACTAATTTCACAAGGTTGCTAAAAGAATCAAATGGCATGAAGTTATCACATATATGGTAAAAGACTAAAATATTATTTATGTCTTTTCTGATTCATTCCTATATAATTAAAGAACACTAAATTTAGGTTTAAAGAACCAGTTCTTAAGGCAAAATATGTCACCTGTGCTGCTTTGTTTCGGGTTTCTTCTAATTGTCTCTGGCTCTCCAGAGCCTCTTGTTCAGCCTTCAACTTCAAAAGGGCTAAGTCTCTTTCATGGCGTTGCTGCTGTGCCTTCAAAATAAAGAAATGATAAATATTAATTCTAAGAATTTTAACACAGTAACTAAAATAAATGCAATGTTATTTTCCTAATACAAATCACTTGAAGCAACAAATTAAGACCTTAAAGGAAAAACATGATATTTATCAGTCACTTGTCATTTATCAAAATATTTAATGACCACCTACTTTGCCTCAAATAATGCAGTAACAGAAAACATTTCCAAAGCATACAGGACTAAGAACTGATACCAAAAACCTGGTTATAAAGCAAAAGCTATAGCACCTCCTTGGAAAATGTCCTACAGGTAAAACTACGCCCTATGTATAAAAAAATCAAGATAATGCTTCACACCTCACAATTTTATGATTCCTTTACTGTGTTCTGAAGGAACAGTTTCAAACTAATGTTGCCCAGAAGAAGGTCTCTCTTTCACCAGGACCCTTTCCATACAATCTGGTATCTATATATTTATGTCTCTTCTGGAATAGTGCTAAATAGTCTACGTTCTCTAGAGGTGGTAAGGCTATATATAAAGTTACATAATGCCCTGTTCAAATCAGAGACCCAGAATTATGTATCCTTTAACTCATCGTTAAAGTTCTTTCAAACAGCATAGAAAAGAGAGAAAACCCACAAAAAGCTAAAGAGAAAGAAAATTCCGCAAGTACCTTTATGATCTGCGCCAGAGACACACTCTCCTGCTGAGCAAGTGAAATGCCTCGAACTCTTTCTACATCTGATAGTTGGCGCATGGACTCCTCGATGGCACTCAAATAATTGAGTTCTGCTGCCAAACGATGCTGGAGGCCAGCAGGGGAAAAGCGCTTAGAACCTGGAGGGCGTTAACAATTGTCAAATGCAAAAGTTCACATGAAATTATATCTCAGATTTCTAATATTTATTTCTCACTTCAACAGCCAAAAACCAAATGTGCTTTCCTTTGAAGGGAAGACAGTTACTTCTTTTATATATATACGTGTTTGTATATATATGTGTACATACACATAAACACTTAGGATTACATATATGGAATACATTTTTCAAGTGTGTTTCAACCAATATTTAATGTTGGCAATATGGGAAAAAAAAAATACCACTCTTGAATTTCTCACACTTTCTTCAACACTTAATTTCCTGCATAATTTTTGTTTAATACTTCAAAAAGTAATCTTCAGAAAAAAATTACTCTTATTTTAAAACTTACAACCGCGCCGATCTACTTGCCTGGTGTTGAAGCCATATCTGTAGTTGTTCTACTAGCAGTTAGGTTAATATCTGTGAAAGCTGCATTAGGTTTAAATGCTGTTGTAGTTGGAGGTATTATTACTGAGGGCTGAGTCTTTTCCAACGAAGTTCCTGGAAGGTCAAACTGCAACAATTTCTGGGAACTTGGAGACAGAGGAGAAGTCGGAGTTTTCTGAGATCTTCCCTTCTCTGATGAGACACTAGAAGTTTTGTTTCATAAAGACATTTGAAAAAGGAAAACTACCCTCAAGAACAAGCCAAATAATTCATAAGAACAACATGCATAACTTTCTATTACATTAACTTGCACAAACCCTGCCGCAATGAAATAGAAAGGCAGTCTCCTGATTAGACTGGCACTTAACCCTTTCTTCTACCATGTACATATATCATTGTAGTATAAAATAAAATCTAAAATAGCTAGACCTTACAGAGCAATAAAATTACAGTCATATATAAAAGTCAAGGTCAAGCCTATCTTATAAAACTGTCTTAAAATATGTCTCTGAAAGAGAATAAAATGTCAAGATTTGTATTTGTAACCAGTTGTTGTGCCAACTTGTAGCAACCCCATGTGTGACAGAGTAGAACTGTGCTTCACAGGGTTTTCAATGGCTGATTTTTTTGGAAGTAAATCACCAGGCCTTTCTTCCACGGCGCCTCTAAATGAATGAACTCGCATATCCAACCTTTTGGTTAGCAGCTGAGTGCATTACCATTTACACCATACAGGGATGCCCTATTAAAAACTTAGAAATGACAAAAGTTTTCCTTTTTTTTTTTTTTTTTGTTATTTCTCTTAACTCAAAAGACTCATAGCAAAAAATTATTTTCATATTATGCATCTCTAAGTATTTAATATATGTCCATTTGTTTCCACCCACCTTTTAATGCTATAGTTTTTCCTGAGCTTTCTAATAAGAAGTAACTTCTCAGAGCAGTTTGATAGTAACAACTCTTTGGACAGCATTTAATTCAACTCAAGGCACATGTCTAGCCCCTCAAAGCAGGAACCATATACTATTCTTTTATATTTTTCTCTTAATAACAAGCAGGCTGCCTTGCACTGAATATTTATTTGTTGAATAAATTATTCAAAGATACTCTATGAAGGATATTAGCACAGTTAACATACTAAAACAAGTTTGCTTTTAGCTTTTAATAAAATGATGAGATAGTTTCAATGATAAGAATTTCTCTTATACCTAGCATGAAAACATTTTTTAAAAAATGTCTTGAGGCACTAACTTGTTTTAATTTCCTATTGATGGTTTAGGGAAACACTACTTGTAACAGTCTGACAATTTCAATTATGGAACATAAAAAGAATTATCATTACTTCTATTTCCAAACAGATTTCCATTAAAGAATTTCAATATGGTATCAAACAAAACAAAGTGCTTTGTTTGACTGTCGCTTTATGGTTTTATAAAATGAATTTATAATTGCTTTGTACAGAAGATTCACCTAGAATGGCACTTCCAAACATATGTTTCTAAGAATAAGTTTGTCATAAAAAAAAATCAATAAAGAAATAAAGGGGAAAAGGTTGGGGGCAAAGAGTGTCTACAACCAAACAAGTTTAAAAAAAAATAGGTTAAACAATTTATTTTTAAAAACTGGAGGAGGTCTTATCAAAGCCTCAAAATACTTTATCCACCATGAATCTCCATGGGCTAGGGTGAGCGGGGCCTAGACTATAGTACGAGGCAGTCACCAAACTTATTTGGCTATGGATTCTTTCTCAGAAATGTTTAACTTTGTAGACTTTGCCAATTAAGTCATCAAAGTTTCTTTTGAGGAAAGGAAAAGTTTTCTGAATTCCAAAATCACTGATAACTTAAATTCAATTTTAAATATAACAACTATGGTATTAATGATGCAACATTATTTTGCAACATTAAAGCATTAAAAATGGTAGTACCTGCATGTGACACTGTACTCAAAAAAGCACAAAGTTAGTTCAAAAAATAAATAAATCCATGTCTTCACAGAGCTTAAATTTCCAGAAAGACAAAACCTATGCGGCAGATAAAATATCACATGGACAACTGAGTAGGACCCATACATGAAGCAGTAACTGAAGGTTATTTATGAGCATCAGGCTAAGTGCATAATATAAAAAATAAAAAAAAAAAAGATTTAAAAAAAAAAAACCAGAATGTGCAAGTTCCATAATCAGTATAAGAGATAAGACTCTGCTTCAAATCAGTTTGGGAAGATAGTAAGAATCACTGAGATTTTAAAATCTGCTTGAATGGTTTAGTAAGTTGAACAAGAGAGAAACCTTTAGAGGAAGAAATAAACATCGAGACCAAAAGAATGCTAACTAGTCACACTAAAAGAGTACAATACAGTTGAGAAGCAAAAGCAGATAAAAGAAATGAGTTCGTAGTGGCCTAGTAAAAACACTACAAATAGGTTCTTAGCATTGCTCTGTGGGGTAGCTGTGGGCTTCAAAAGCACTCCAAAGAGGGAAGTAGCTTGGTCAAATGATTGAGCCAAGAAAACAACTGTGGCAATGGCTTTTAGGATAGAAAGGCAGCTGTGCCAGAGGCAGAGGATTTCTGAAGGAGAGGTTGTTGTAACAGTTTAGGTGACAGATGACCGTATCCTAAAATACGGATTAAAAAAAAGACAAAAGACAGTTGTCATCAAGTCAGCTTGAACTCATGGTAACCTCATGTGTGTCAGAACAGAACAGTGTTCCACAGGGTTTTGATGGCTGATTTCTCACAAGTAGATCACCAGGTCTTTCTTCCCAGGCACCTCTTGGTAGACTTGAACTTTCAACTTTTCATTTAGCAGCCAAGCACATTAACTGTTTGTACCACCCAGGAGACTAGAGATATAAACAAAACTACAGACCCTATGCAGAAAGTACAGAAGTTTGTAGTAACCTGGGCATGCAAAGTTAAGGGGAGTGCAAAGCTGAAATTTACTAAATGCATTCCTTGAATATCAATGATATTGTAACTTTAATTATATATGAATTACAGTATAAAACATATATTGTTTTACCTCACAGAATGTCCAGAAAGATCCTCCAACATGCTCTCAGAGTCAAGAGTCTGCTCATAATCTTTAACAGAATGTTTGCTACTGGTCCCAGGTTTCTTTCCTTGATAGGAGCCACGTTCTGAGCCAGATTGTATTTTTTCCTCATCAAGAACAGAGTTTTGAACATTTCCAGTAAGTGAATCCAACCCTGTAGAGTAAATTTCTTATAAAGCTGATTCCCATTATTGGAAGCTACTGAGAGACAACTGATATCCAGATTTCAATAAATAAAAGGTACAGACCAGAATATTTAAAAATTGCCTTATACTTAAAATTTGTTTTCATATCTAAAATAAAAAGGCTCACCTTTCTGCCTCCATTTAAGGAAAATGAAGTTTCCTCCACTAATATCCACCACTTGCTATTAAAAAAATAAATTTGTCCTTAACTGGTAATAAAAGACAAGTATATTAAGCAAGAATAAAGTACTACTTTATCTCTATAAAAAAGTAACCAAAAAGAAGTTTTTTAAGAATAAAATCCAAAGCTGGGAGAAAACTGATACACTCATCAGCTGCCAGTAGAACTACACAATCCTTTTGAAAAACTCTAAGGCAAGAACTATATAGCCAGATTCATAAAAATGTTCATATTCTATACCTCAGTACAATCTTACTTATAGAGTTATATAAACATCAAAAAGATTATTCAAACAAGTAAAAATTATGAATTATATATAACTTTCATAATTTAAAAAGTCTCAATCTACATTTCCAAGAGAATGACTGTCTAAATTACGTACATAATAGTAACTTGAACATTTAAATAGCATTTTGCAGTTTAAAATACTTTCCATATATACTATCTTACTGCTCTTAAATACCTATGAAGTGGGTGCCAGATCCCCAATTTACTGCTGAGGTAACTAGGGATCTATGAGGCTAAATAACTTGCCTAAGGATATACAGTCAATAGCAGAAACAAGACATAAACCCAAGCCTCATGACTCTATGTCTAGTGCACTATTCACTTTAATGGTATGTTGAAGCAGCATCAAGAGGAAGTGCTTATTATTGTTTTTTAAAAAGAAGTAGAATACAGAACCTCATGTACATATTAATAGCAGCTAAATTTTTAAACAATATAGATATATGGTTAAAGATGAGAAGAAAAAGGATAACTGAAAAAAATCATGCTATATTATGGTGTACTGACAGTGATACAGTGAACAATTTTTCATTTAAAATTTGGTTAAAAATGAGAAAATAGCCATAAGTATATGAAAAAAATGAAACCTGATTATCAAGCAAAGAAATGCAAATCACATCAATGTGATGTCATTTTTCATTATTAGATTAGCAAATATTTTTTAAAGTAATAACACCTAGTATCATAGACAGAGGAAGGGATATTCACACACTGTTTTTATGGGAATGTAAACTGGTATATCCTTTCTGGAGGACAATTTAAGATATGTATAAAAATAATTTTGCATCCCCTTTAACTCAGAAATTCCACTTCACTTACAGCAATTCATTGTAGGAAGCTATTTAAAGATGTGCACCATAAATTAGACATAAGAATATTGATTACACTATCATAATCGGGGGAGGAGGTAAACAGAAATAATCTAAGGGATTACTAATCAATGAGAAAGAACCTTATAGTCTAAAATTTATTTATGATCCCTGGGTTAGAAAAGTAAGCTGGCTACCTCTAGTATTTTTATAGTAAAGATGCACTGATTTAAAATAAGAACACTTTAATCATTTAATATTGTTCTTCGAAAATAAATACACAATTTAAAAATTGTTCTTCACTACAAACAACTAGAAATTGTAAGCAATAGAATGGTCTATGTAAGAAAGACCTATACTCCAATCAACGAACCCATATACAAAGAAAATGTTTTGTCCCTACATTAAAAGACTGCCAAATGAAAGTAGCTTGACATGTTTTAAATATAAGTCAAAAGAAATTTTTTTCTTATGATTCCCACTTTAATCTACCAAGTACTTTCAACTGCAATGCGAAAGGCGGCATCTGCAGTAGTTTTCATACAGAGCACACAGACATTCTTTCATCACCAGGTTGAGAATATACAATAAAAGTTACACTGATTTTAGAACTTGGAGAAACTAAGTTTAAGAAGATGCTGTGGAGACTGGATTTTTAGGCACTATAAGAAGGGATCAGGGAAACTGAAAGCCACAAAACGCTACCTACACTTCATCTACTCATGTTTCAGATTAGAATTTTTAAAAACCTATGTTGAATCATATTGATTATACTCATACATTCAATATATCAAGATATTTTAAAGTTGTCCAGTATGCTGTAGTACAAGATAAATTGTGTAGTATACTGCAGCACAAATACAGTTTTCTGCATGTGACGCATTTCTTTATCTGCAGTAGACTGATCTGGAAGTCAGACTTCAGAATCCAAGCTTTGCCAATAACTAGTTGGTGACTTTAGGTGATACACTAACATAACAAAGTATAACGTTTCCAAGATAAAAGAGACGAGCAAGATCAAGATTCCCCAAACTATGTTCAGCTGAAATTCTAATTCCATAACATGCTGACTGAAGAAATGATTCTATGGTCAAATAAATTTGGAAAATGCTTCATACAATAGCCTAATCCCTGTCCTAAGATAAATAATGCATATTAGCATGTTAAAAGCGTTGATTATAGGCAAGAAATCTGTTTCACTTTAAAAGCATTTTCCAAATTTATGGGACCATAAAGCTCAGAACACCTGTGAAACAGCCTATCCCATTGTGAACCAGTATTTAACAAGAAAAAGACAGAGTGTGGAAATGCTAGTAAAATGACCTCCAAAGTTCCTACCTAAAACTTTCAGAACACTTCCAATCTGCAAGACAGTTATACTAGGTTAATGATTAAAAAAATAATAACTTAAAAAAAAAAATTCCTCCAGCCTCTCATATTGGAAGTATAAATTGGCATTAGCTTTCTGAAGGGCTATTTGGCAAAATGTATTAAAAATTTAAATATGGCATATTCTTTGCTCCACTATTTCCAGGATTTTTCCCAAAAGAAAAGAGGGAGATTAATGCACAAAGATGTACTTATTGGCATATTCAATGCAGCAGTATTTATAATGGCAAAAAGAAAAAGAAAACAACCTAAATGTTAAGCAATGGGAAACTGATTAAACTATAAATATTCAAATAGAACACTATGTAGTCATTACAAAGGGCAATGTAGATACATACTTACTAACAAAGAAAGATACCTATAACCTATTAACAGAACAAAACACCATACACAATGTGATTCCATGCACATAAAATTTCCTATTTACATATGCCTACAAACTGAAAGGATTCTTACTAAAAATGTTAGCACTGCTTACCTGTAGGTGGAAGGACAACAGGTGATTTTTTATTTTTGAATATAGTTTTCTGTATTTAACCATTTCTTTAAATTGATTCGTCCCACCTCCACCTTCCCCCTTTTTTTAACTCAATGATCAGGGTTTATTTTTATAATTAGAAAAAACAATTTTGGAAACAAAACTATTTCCTAGCTAGAAGCCATCCTGTGAGTTTAACAGGCCTTTCTTGGCCTTGACAATTGGTCTCTATTAGCCTGGAGCAACAGAAGAAGAACCAGAGTCAGGAATAGAGAGGAGCAGGAAATGGAATATGTGGCTAATTGCCTCCATAAACAACTGCCTCCTGTGCCATGAGACCGTAAGAACTGGATGGAGCCTGGCTACCATTACCGAACATTTTGATCAAAGATTCCATAGAAGAATCCTGATCAAAAGGGGGAAAATGTACAACATACTTCAAATTCTCATGGACTCCAGACTTTCAGGAGCCATGGGGGCTAGATGAATCCCTGAAACTATTACGCTGAGATGTTCTTTAAAACTTAAACCAAAAATATTCCCCAAAGTCGTCTTAGCTAAACTAGAAAAAAATGTATACCTTGAACACTGCTCTTTCAAGAGCTATCTATATGGGATCAAACAGGAACATTAGTGGGCACTGAATTTATGTTAATGGGGGAGAAACAACTCAGAAAAGGAGGGTGAGAATGGTTGCACAACTGGAAGAATATAATCAATATCACTGAATTGTACATGTAGAAACAGTTGAATTGGTGTATGTTTTGCTGTGAATATTCTCAACAACAAAATAAATTAAAAAAAAAAAAAAGGAGGCCTTTGCCTAATCTCACCTCTAGGTCTATAGAGTAAATTACAGCCAGGAGTAAAACTGAAGGGATTGAACAGTATCTCAATCACTCAAAAATATTTACTGTTGCCAGTGCCCAGTACTTAGCATAGAAAGTATACACATTCTCTCCATTAATTTCATTTAAGCTTCAATATTACCATAAGAAGTATCTATTATTATTATTATTATTTCTACTTTAACAGATAAGAAAGTTCGAGTATTATATTTAATGACACACAGAGATATACGTGATATACTATTAAGTTAAAAAAAGGCAGCTATAAAGCAATATATATTTCTTTTTTTTTTTTTAAATGTGTATATGTGTGTGGTTGTACATATATACTGGAAAATAGGTGCCAAAAATGTTAATAATGGTTATGTCTGAGCTGAAGGATCAACACTGATTTGTATTTGTATTTCTTGTATAATTGTTTAAAATTCATAGTTTATTCAATGCAAATGTATTACTTTTATATTCAGAAAAAGATGTAAACCACTATATATCAAAAGGTATTACTTCAATCATAAATAAATGAGAGAGCTAATTAAATTATTATTATAAAGAAATTCACATAACTTCTTATGGAATCAAATCACAGCTTTATATCACCACCACAAAATCAGTGGTAAGAGAATCAAGTTCCCATGCGGAATTCCACTTACGTTCTATCTTTTCTTTTTTTCCTTTCTTTCCTTTAGAAGAAGTAGATGAACGAGATGATGCAGCAGAATGGGCCCCTGACGAATGCTGGGAAGTAACGTCCACAGAAGAAAGATACGCAGACTTTCTGCTAGAATGCTCCTCTTGAATGCCTACACTGCTACCACCAATACCGTCCAAGAATAGGTAATAGAAGGTAAAGAAAGAAAGAAGTCTTACAACACAGTTAAAACTATAAATATATAAAAATTTATTTAATCACTAGGATAATATAACTATAATCAAGGATGCCTTCCATTTCTCTTATTTATTTTCTGATTACCACTAAGCCTGGACTCCCTGGGTGGCACAAATAGTTAAGCGCTCAACTATTAGCCAAAAGGTTGGTGGTTCAAACTCACACAGAGGCACTTCTCTGAAGACAGGCCTGGCAATCTGCTTCCAAAAGGTTCCAGCCTTGAAAACCCTGTAGAGCAATTCTACTCTGCTCACGTGGGGTCGTCATGAGTTGGAACTCAATGACAACTGACAAGAAGAAGAAGCCCTGATTATTCCTTATGGCTCCATTTACTACTGAAAAAACCTCAGGTGAGTTATTTACTCAAGTGAAACCAATAAAAATATATATTTCAGATACTTAAGAGAACAATATATAATGCTGGATACTGGAAAATTTTTATTCAAATATATAATTTCATGTAACTATTTTCCCCTGATAATCTCATAGAGAACAATACTTCAATATGTTCAACTTCTACATGAAAATAAAATGCATTCAAATCATACTGACTGGTAACCAAAAGTTCTGATTTAAAAATTTAATCTTTTTGTTAGAGCTCAAAATTAAAAACTATACTTTTCCTGATATAATTTTAATAATACTTTTTATATTAGCACAACTAGATTTAACTAATTTTTATAAGATCATCTAATCATTTTGTGGTATGTGAAGAAAATGATATCCAACATGAATGACTACAGATTAATTTATAGGGGAACAAAACTTAGGGAGGAAATTTTTCCTGCAAATTTTGATTCACTTATTATGTGACTTTTTACAAGTAACTTCTGTGCTTTAGTTTTCTCCCTAAAATGGGAATAATAATAATTAACATATCAGGCTGCTGTAAATAAGAATGAGTTAGTATTGTTAAGGACCCTCAGTCCTCTCAGGGTCTTGCATATTAAGTGCTCGATAGAGCACTGTTATCATTATTGTAACTATTGTTATTTTTCAAAGCACTGAAAATTTTAGATGTTTTCCTGATTATAAAAATAAAATTACTGATTAAGGGGGAATCACAGAGACAAGGATCTATCTGATCTTCCTCAGTTTAATCACAGAAAACCATTTCTTCATGTTCTTACATTAGTATACTATGTAATAGTTTCCCAATATTATTATCTCGTGGGGATTTACAGATCGATTTAATTTCACAATAACCTATACTCTCCTTACTACGTGCAAGACCCTGTTCTAAGTACTTTGTATTTCAATGAACACTCGTAACAATTCTGTGGGAAAGGTACTATTATTTTCTTCGTTTTACACAGAAGGAAACTAAGATCAGGAAGGTTAAGCAACATGTTCAAAAGCAAACAACTAATAATCGGGGGAGTCAGGAATCAAATGCAGGCAGTCTAGATACAAAGGCTATGCTTTTAATCATTATATGCAGCCTGCATATATATTTTTAAACAAGTAAAATTTGACTAATGTTCAGAACACAGTTTTCATTTATACATTTTTTCACTCTTCAGATTTTATTCCACATTGTCAACATATTCTTACGTAAATTCAAGAGCTGATTTTTTTTCTGTCAAAGTCCCACTCTCTGGAGAGGAAACAAAGTCATCTTCATACGAAACACTGCTTAGAGGGGTTTTGATGGTATTCAAAGGCCGCAATGCTGATGCTCCTCTTTCCAATCTGTCTTCAAAGCCTGTCAAAAGTAATAAATGAAATGTGGTTAAAATAAAAAAACTATAACCAAAGCATTCCAAATCTAGGAGATTAATAGCATGGACTTATGAATGTTTTTCTTTGCTTTTATCAACACCTTCTTTTACTTTACCTTAATATGTAACAATATACGTATAACTTTTTATTAGGGAAATCTTCAAACATACATGAAAGTAGAGAAAATAGCATAATGAACCCAATGTATCCATCACTCAGCTTTAACAGTTATCAAATACGTGACCACTCTTGTTTCAACTAAACCTCCTACTGTCCCATTTGCTACTCTCCCCTCTGATTATTTTGAAGCAAACCTGAGATAACATATCATTACATCCCTGAATACTTCAGTATAACGATAAAACGTTAATAAAAATCTAACAGAATTTCAGAACAAATCCAATTTTCTTAAGAAGAAAAAAAGGTGTTAATTTAAGCATCTTGCTTTCATCAAAAGAAATCAAAGCCTAGACAGCCCAACATGGCAGCTTAGTCAGACATACAATGTTGTCATTCTACAGCAAAGACCAGAGAAATCAAGTGAAACAGATACAGATGACAATCCTGGAACCCTGAGCATCAAATGAAAGAATAAAGAATTATATCAAATACCGACTGGAAGAAGAAACAACGACAACAGTGAACGAGGAGAGATACGGAGCAGAGGTGCCCTGCCAGCCGGCCCGGCACAGATGGAAGCAAAGTCAGCAGCGATCTAGTGTGAGGAGCACAGGAAGGTCACCCGCAATAACCCCGCAAGTCCAGCGAACAGCAACGAGCACTTCGCTGCCTGCTGCTGTTCCGCCCATCCAGTGACAGTTGGTGAGTGCTCCCATGCTACCAGACCAGAGATCAGAAGAGCACACTCACCCTGCCCATTCTGATATACTGAAACAAAAAATCAGGACAAAACAAACAAGCATACAATCAATAAATAAATACACAAATAATTAAAATAACACCTTAATGCCTTGAAGACAGAAGACAATAATAAATTTCACAAAAACACAGGACAAGCTGGCTCAAACAAGTGAGCAAAATAAAGAAAAACAAAAAAAACCTTCCAGAGAAAGAAACAGTAATAGAACTACCTGAGAAGGAATTTAAAAGGCTTATATTAGGATCCTCAAAGAGATCAAGGAAAACACACACAGACACACACACAAAATCCTAGAATTCAGGAAAACAATATAAGAACAAAATGACAAACTGAACAGACAATTAGAAACCACACAAAAACAAGAAGTAGAAATTCAGATTAACAACAAAATATCAGAAATGGATAACTCAATGGAAGGACACAGAAGTAAAACTGAATCAACAGAAGAAACAATGAAATACAGGACAAATCCCTTGATACTAATTTCTTTGAGGAACAATCAGAAAAAAAGAATGAAGAAAGCTTAACAGTTATGTGGGACACTATCGAGAGGAATAATTTACATGCAATAGGAATTCTAGAAAAAGAGGAAAAAAAGAAAAGTACAGAGAGAACTTATGAAGATATATTGGCTGAAAACTTCCCAAATATCATGCAAGACGAAAAGGTTACCATTCAAGAAGCTCAATTAACCCCAGAGTAGACTCCATGAAAAAAATCACAAAAACATATCATAATCAAACTTTCCAAAACCAAAGACAAAGAAAAAATTCTGAAAGCAGCCATGAAAAAATTTCACTTACAAAGGGGCACTAATAAGACTAAGTGATGAGTTCTTGTCAGAAACCATGCACGCAAAACGACAATGGGACGACATACATAAAATCCTGAAGGAAAGGACCTGCCAGCTAAGAATCATATATCCAACAGAACTGTCTTTCAAAAATGATGGTGAAACTAAGGCATTCTCAGATAAGCAGACACTAAGGGAATTTGTAAAAACCATACTAGCCTTACAAGAAATATTAAACAGAGTCCTCTGGATAACGAGCCAATGATATCAGACAACAATGTGAGATAAAGACATATGACAACATCACCCAGACACCAACCCAGATAAATACCTCACAAAAGCAAAATAAAACTAAAAAACTGACTACAAGGAACCAGAAAAATTAAGCTGTAAACAGCGACAATTTCAAAATAAAAAGTAGGGGATAAAAGATGTAGTTATAGAACTTCCATAAGGGGAGGAAGTCAAGGTGATTTTAAGATACAACACACTGTTTTCATTTTAAGGGGATTAAGGTAAGCTTCAGAGTAATCACAAAAAAAGGAATATATTTACTCACCAAAATAAAGAAGAAGAAAACCAGAAAGATGCATTAAAGAAAAACAACAACAATGACTGATAGGAAAAGAAAACTCATATACAAAAAGAACTCACTGCAAAAAATTAAAAGGAAGAAACCGTTAATACCACAAAAAAAGTATAACAAAATGAGAGCAATGAATCCATATCTATCATTAATCACACTGAATATAAATGGATTAGATGCACCAGTCAAGAGTCAGAGAGTGGCAGAATAGATTAAAAACATGATCCATCAATATGTTTGCCTACAAGAGACACACCTTAAACACAAAGACGTAAACAAGTTCAAAATTAAAGGATGGAAAAAAATAAATCAAGCAAACAGTATTCAAAAGAGAGCATGAGTAGCAATAACAACTTCGGATAAAACAGGCTTTATATCAAAATCCATTATAAGAGACAAAGAGGGGTGTTATATAATGGTTAAAGGGTCAATCCACCAGGAAGACCTAACTATAATAAATATCTATGCATCCAATGACAGATATCCTAAATACACACAACAAACTCTAACAGAATTGAAAAGAGAAAAAGACAGTTCTACAATAATAGGAAACTTTAACATATCACTTTTGATGATGGACAGAAAACTAGAAAGAAATTCAGTAAAGATACAGAAGATCTAAATAACACAATTAACCAACCTGACCTCACGGACATAACACAGAACACATCACCTATCAGAAGCACAGTACACATTCTTCTCCAGCACACACAGATCATTCTCCAGAATAGACCACATTCTAGGTCACAAAGCAAGCCTCACTAAATTCGAAAACATAGACATAATACAAAACATCTTCTCTGACCATAATGCTATAAATATGGAAATCAATGACACAAAGAGCAAGGAAAAAAAATTAAACACATGGAAACTGCATAGCACTTTACTTAAAAAACTACTTGCTCATAGAAGAAAACAAATTTAAAAATTCTTGGAATGAAATAAGAATGACAACACAACATAACAAAACCTATGGAACACAGCAAAGCAACGCTCAGAATTAAATTTATAGTAATAAAAGCACACATCAAAAAAGAAGGAAGATCCAAAATCAATTAACTTAACCCAACAACTTGACAAACAGAAAAGGAACAGCAAAGGAAGTCCACAGTCACCAGAATTAAGGAAACAGTGAAAGATCAGAGCAGAAATAAATGAAATAGAAAACAGAAAAAACAATAGAAAGAATCAACAAAACTTGAAGTTGGTTCTTTGAGAGGATCAATAAAATTGACAAACCACTGGCCAAATTAACAAAGGAAAAAAACAAGAAGACACAAATAAACAAAATAAGAAATGAAATGGGCGACATTACAACAGAACCGACCAAGATAAAGAGGATTAGTACAGAATATTATGAAAAATTGTACTCCAACAAATCTGAAAACTTAGAAGAAATGCACAAATTTCTAGAAACACACTATCTACCTAAACTAACACAAGCAGAGGTAGAAAACCTAAATATACCCACAACAAAAGAAAAAACTGAAGATGTCATTAAAAAAACAAAACAAAAAAAGCCCCGGCCCAGATGGCTTCACTGCAAAGTTCCACCAAACATTCAAAGAGCTGATGCCAATTCAACTCAATGTATTCCAGAACATAGAAAAGGAAAGAATACTCCCTAATTCATTCTATGAAACCAGCATAACCCTGATACCAAAGCCTATCAAAGATACCACAAAGAAAGAAAATTACAGACCAATATCCCTCATGAACATAGACACAGAAATTCTCAACAAAATTCGAACCAACAAAATATCAAAAAAAAAAAAAATACATCACTATCAGGTAGGATTCATACCAGGGATGCAAGGGTGGTTCAACATTAGGAAAGCAATCATGTAATTCACCACATAAATAAAACAAAGGAAAAGAATCACAGAGTCATCTCAATTGACACAGAAAAGGCATTTGATAAAATCCAACACTTTTTCCTGATAAAAACTCTCAGCAAAATAGGAAGAGAAGGAAAACCCCTCAGCATAATTAAGGGCACATATACAAAACCAACAGCCAACATTATTCTCAATGGAGAGAGACTGAAAGCATTCCTCTTGAGAACAGGAACTAGATAAGGATGCCCATTATCACCACTACTATTCAAGATGGTACTAGAAGTCCCAGCCAGAGCAATAAGGCAAGAAAGGTAAATAAAGGGCATCCAAGTTGATAAGAAGAAGTAAAACTATCACTATTTGCAGATGATGTGATCCTATACATAGAAAAGCCCAGAGACTTCACAAGAAAGTTAATGGAACTAAAAAAAGGGTTCAAAAAAGTAGCAGGGTACAAGATCGACATACAAAAATCAGTTGGATTCCTCTATACTAACAAGGAGAACTCCAAAAAGGAAATAAAGAAAACAATACCATTTACAATAGCCTCCAAAAGGATAACATACCTAGGAATAAATCTAATCAGGGACATAAAAGACTTACACAAGGAAAACTATAAAACACGACTGCAAGAAACCAAAACAGACCTACTACATAAATGGAAAAACATACCATGCTCATGGTCTGGAAGACTTAACATTGTGAAAATGTCAATACTACCCAAAGCAATCTATACATATAATGCTATCCTGATACATATTCCAACAACATTCTTTAACAAAATGGAAAAACTAATCTCCAACTTAAATGGGAAGGAAAGAGGCCCCAAATACCTAAAGCATTATTCAAGAAGAACAAAGTAGGATGCCTCACACGTCCAAATCTCAGAAATTACTATACAGCCACAATAGTCAGTACAGCCTGGTACTGGTACAATGACAGATACACAGACCAATGGAACAGAATCATGGGTGGATGACCCAGTAAACAAGGTAAGCATAGGCTTACTTGGGCATACTTACTAACCTGCAGTGAATAATTTCACCTGTTTTTCACAACTGATATGAAACTGTTCACTACAGATTAGTAAGTATACACAAGTAAGCCCGTGCTTACCTTGCTTGCTGGGTCATCTGTCCCTGTCAAGGATTATAAATTTGAAAAGAGGTTTTGATTCTACAAAAAGGTGCTGTGGGGTTGGGAGACAGATGTCATCCATACCTAGAAGTAGAATCTTTGATGTGGTGAAAAAATGTGAACTTGTTCATTACAGATGATCTGATAAACAAGGTAAGCACCATGCTTACCTTGCCGATTGGATAATCTGCCCCTGAACAGAACTGAGAACCGAGAAGTAAACTGACCCAGCTATAGACAGCTGATCTTCGACAAAGGGTCGAGGTCCATCCAATGGGGAAGAGACAGTCTCTTTTAATAAATGGTGCTGGCAAAACTGGATATCTATTTGCAGAAAAATTAAACAGGATCCTTACCTCACACCATACACAAAAACTAACTCAAAATGGATCAAAGACCTAAATGTTAAACCTAAAACTGTAAGTTCCTGGAAGACAACATAGGGACAAAGCTAGGGGTCCTAATTTATGGTATAATGCACTAACAAACATAACCAAAAATGCACAAACAACAAAAGACAAACTAGGTAACCGACACCTCCTAAAAATTAAATACTTATGCTCATCAAAAGGCTTTATCAAAAAAGTAAAAAGAGAACCTACAGACTGGGAAAAAGTTTTTAGCAATGATATATCTGATAATGGTCTCTTGTATAAAATATATAGAACACTTCAGCAACAAAAGGCAAACAACCTAAAAACAGGCAAAGGACATGAACAGACACTTCACCAAAGAAGACATTCAGGTGGCTAACAAACACATGAAGAGATGCTCTCGCCAAAGAAGACATTCAGGTGGCTAACAAACACATGAAGAGATGTTCGTGATCATTAGCCGTTAGAGAGATGCAAATTAAAACTACAATGAGATGCCATCTCACTGCTACAAAAACGGCAATGATTAAAAAAAAAAAAAAACAGAAAACAACAAAGGCCAGTGAGGTTATAGGGACATTGAAACTCTTATACAATGCTGGTGGGATTGTAAAATGGTACAACCACTATGGAAAACGGTATCGTGCTTCCTCTAAAAGCTAGAAATAGAAATACCATGAAGACAACCAAAGACCCAAGGGAAAGATTAGTCCAAAAGACTAACGGACCACAACTACCATGGCCTCCACCAGACTGAGTCCAGTACAACTAGATGGTGCCCGGTTACCGCCACTGACTGCTCTGACAGGGATCACAACAGAGGGTCCCGGACAGAGCTGGAGAAAAATGTAGAAAAAAATTCAAACTCACAAAAAAAGACCAGACTTACTGGCCTACTGGAGAAACCCCGAGAATATGGCCCCCAGGCACCTTTTAGCTCAATAATGAAGTCACTCCTGAGGTTCACTCTTTAGCCAAAGATTAGACAGGCCCATAAAACAAAATCAGACCGATGGGGCACAACAGCCCAGGGACAAGGACAAGAAGGCAAGAGGGGACAGGAAAGCTAGTAATAGGGAACCCAAGGTCGAGAAGGGAGAGTGTTGACCTGTCGTGCGGCTGTTAAACAATGTCCTAAAACAATGTGTACTGTTTAATGAAAAGCTATTTGTTCTATAAACCTTCATCTAAAGTACAAAAAAAGAAGAAACAGAAATACCATATGATCCAGCAATCCCTCTATTAGATATATATCTTAGAGAAATAAGAGCAGTGACAGAATAGACATATGCACACCCATGTTCACTGCAGCACTATTCACAACAGCAAGAAGACAGAAATAACCTAAGTGTCCATCAACGGATGAATGGATAAACAAACAGTGGTACATACATACAATGAAATGCTATGCAATGATGGAGAACAATGATGAGTCCATGAAACATCATGAGTAAAACAAGTCAATCAGAAAATAACAAATATTATGTGATACCACTTTTATAAAAAAGTCAAGAATAGGTTTACACAGAGAAAGCAATGTTCTTTGATGGTTACCAGGGATGGGAGGAGGAGGGAGGGAGAATCACTTACTAGATAGCAGACACAGTCTGGTGAAGAGAAACGCAATACACTATATGGGGGAAGTCAGCAAAATGTGATCACAGTAAATGAAGACACTGAGGGGTATGCAAAAAACAAAGGACAACCACAGCAAATGTTATATACAATTCAGCAACAAAATAACAACCAAAAGATTTTGAATGGTTACATAGGTAGATATGTATTCTCTATAGGTGTGGGAGGGCATATGGGAGTACATGCATGTGCATATATTGTATATGCATATTTGTATGTGCTGTATATATATTCATATATATAATACAGCACATAAGGGACACAGCTATGGAAACTTCTTACACATATCCAAACACCTCGTACGCCTGAATTACTGGGCTTGAAGGCTAAAGACCATAGTCACGAGGGACATCTAGGTCAAGTAGCATAACACAGTTCATAAAGATAACGTTCTACATCCTATTTTGGTGAGTAGCATCTGGGGTCTTAAAAGCTTGTGAGCAGCCATCTAAGATACAGCTGTTGGTCTCTTCCCATCTGAAGCATATGAGCGTGAAGGAAACCAAAGACTCAAGGAAGCAATTAGTCAACAGGACTAATGGTCCGCATGAAATCAGCCTCCTCTGCCCTGAGACCAGAAGAACAAGACGGTGCCTGGCTACCACTACTGACTGCTCTGATCAGGGACACAGCAGAAGGTCCCAATTTGAATGGGAGAAAAATGTAGGACAAAACTCAAATTCTTAAAAAAGACCAGACTTACTGGGATAATAGAGACTGGAGGAACTCCAAGATTATTGCCCTAAGACACCCTTTTAACCTGGAACTGAAGCCACTCCCAGAAGACACCTTTTAGCCAAATAATAGATTGGTCTATAAAATAAACAATGACACCAGTAAGGAATATGCTCCTTAGAACAATCAAATATAGGAAACCAAACGGGCAACATCTGCCCATAAGCAAAGATGAAAAGGAAAAGAGGGGCAGGGAAACCGGAGGGACGGAAACAGGGAAGCCAGGGTGGAAATGGGGAGAGTGCTGACAGATAGTGGGGACAGCAACTAATGTCACAAAATAATTTGTGTATGAATTGTTGAATGAGAAACTAATTTGCTGTGTAAACTTTCACCTAAAACACAATAAAATGTTCAAAAAAGGAAATCAAAGCCTACCTTAAAATTACCACCTATAGAAATAAACGGCTAAACAAAACAGCATATATAGGTCTGCACAATATCATAAAGAACTGCCTAAATATGAATTCTAGGAAACTGCAATGTGATATCCAATTGAGCATAAGATGAGCAGATGAAATCAGTTTATCAAATAATATGTTCACTATGTAGGGTAGAAGTAGAAAACCACACTATTAATAGCTGACTTAAGGCTCAGCCTAACTCCTTTCAACTTGAAAATCCAAGGTCATGTTAGCACAAGATGAGTAGAATCAATCTACTGCAAGAAGAATAGAGAAAAGAACTTAAGTCAAGTTCATCACAGACAAGGAAGTTATGTTACAGGATGTCAGGGATAAGAGGGGAACTTTAGAAGTTATTGTTTCAGGACCCAACCATCAGGCTACATTACTATTCCAAGTCTGACGGCTATTAAAATTAATTTTGACAAACAGTAATAGAATTGCTTCCAAATTAGAAATGTTACTACAGCTGTCCCTCTCAATTCTTGACCACAATATTCCCAATAATTTACAAATTACACAATTCAGAAATATACTCATTTCCTATTTAAATACATAACTATAGTCACAGAAAAACCTGATACACTTAAATATTTTATACCAATCCTGAACATCACACATAAATTTCGCTAAACTAGATCAACATTTTCTACAACTACCAGTCAGCTACTGTTTTATGACAATAAGAGCTAAGAAATAAAAATTTAAAGATTAAATTACTCTAGTTGAAGTCTGCAGATAAATTAGAAGATGACAAACATGGACAACAAAAGTCTCCATTATCCTCAAATTTCTCAACATAATAAAGAGCATCTATGCAAAACCAATGGCCAACGTCATTCTTAATGGAGAGAGGCTGAAAACATTCCCCTTGAAAACAGGAACAAGACAAGGACGCCCCTTATCACCACTCATATTTAACATTGTGTTGGAAGTTCTAGCTAGAGCAATAAGGCAAGAAAAAGAAATAAACGGCATCCAAATTGGTAATGAAGAAGTTAAACTGTCCCTGTTTGCAGATGATATGATACTATACATAGAAA